GCACCAACTGAGTGCTCAGTCCTGTCCGACGGGAGCGAGCCGACTGCTCTACTGTGTATCTCGACACTGTGAGGACATGCTGAAACAAGACGTGCTTTGTCGGCCACGAGCACTCCGAGGGGAACGCTCAACAGTCCCTTTGTCTCCTAGCACGTCATAATGAAGACATCAAATGGTGGATGAGTAGGAAGCATAGAACCAAGCTTATCTCGGTGGATGTTCTGAGCGAAATGAGGACACTGGTGGGAACAGCCGTTATGCGCGCAATCTCTCAACAGTTACACGGTCGGAAGTTTTCATTCATCATCGACGAGACTGCGGACTGCAAAGGGCAGGAGCAGGTGGTGCTAGTGGTCAGAACCATAAGTCCGACAACGATGGTGGCCGAAGAGACTTTCTTGGGGTGGTACGCGACGGATAGCCAAGACTCGGAGGCCCTCACCAATCTCGCTAGGGATAGTCTTCTGAAGTCAGTATTCCGGGAAAATCACTCAATTACCATATTAGTCGTTTCAGGTACAACTTATCCATCATTGACTGCATTGGCATAACCACCGATGGTGCGATGAATATGCGCGGTAAGCACAGAGGAGTGAAGGCCAGATTCAAAAACTTGAGTCAGTCAATCCTACATGTATACTGCGCCGGCCACGCTCTGAATTTGGTGAGCCGCCAGTCCACCGAGAACGTGGAAGCCTGCTTGTCAAGCCTCGAGTTCGCTAGTGGTATCGCTCGGTACATTAAGGGCTCTCAGAAGCGCCAACAGGAATGGAAATCATTCTGTGCCGATATAGACCAAGGTTACCTTGGTGGAGGTACCCTGTCTGATGATGAGACCGATTCTGATAATGGCGAGCCCAATATGACCCCTAAGAGAGTTTCTCTCAAGCTTCTCTCTGAAACACGATGGCTTATGAATGGTCGCCGACCACTGGTCGGGCAGCCCGACTCGGGCTATCAAGGCATTTCTGATCAGCTACGAAGCCCTATTAGATTTCTTTGCGGGTCGAGCGGATGCAGCTCAGTCTTCTGAAAATAGCGAGGATAGGGCGAAGGCCAGAGAGTATGTTAACAGGATGGATGATTTTCGTACGTATTATGCTCTCAGAGTCATGGATGATGCGTATGATGTCATACTCCCTATCCATGCTGGCCTCCAATCGCCTGAGCTGTCAGTGTGTGCAGCTATAGCTATGATCGAGGGACTACAGAAGAACCTCTTAGGGTATGCCCAGGACTGGTCGAGGCTCAAAGGGTTCTACGAGATGGTTAAAGACGACTCTTTGAAAATGAATATAGAGGGTCCACGATTAGAACGCGCTGCACGGAAGGGCTTTCGCCCAAGCCGAGCCGGGCTGTCGGGTGAGCAGAAGGAGGATCTTTCGTTGGTGCAACATGTCGGCCCGACATTGTCGGGAGAATCCACCGCGCCTTGTTGAAGGAGGTTCGCGACTTGATCAAGTCCAAATATGATCTGAAAGACCTGAAAATGGTGACGGCGATAGAAGATAGCTTGCTGACGATGAATACTGTACCCGACAAACTAAAACGGTTGTACACTACCATGATGGTAGTGTACAGCTCGCAGAATAGTATTCTGCGAGTCATTGCGGAAATGGCGCCACGGAAATTGACGCCTCAGAAATGTTCCCGTTCAGACTGGGAGGCCTTCGATAATGAGCGGCGCGTTATAAGAGCCTCTTTACTTATGGGGAAAGTTCCAGGAGACGATCGCATTGCTATGGAAGATGTGATTGACTGCCTTAATCGTGACACTCTCAAGTTGTAATCGCAGTATCGACTCGATACTATCGAGACCTTACGACTCGCCTCCTTGTTTTGCCAGCGACGAGCTGCGGTGCAGAAAGATGCTTCTCTGGGCTCGTACGCATAAAAAGCAAGTTGCGTACTTGTATGCAACAGAATTCGTATGATATATGTTCGTTGAATTGGTCTTTTGCGGGTGAGTTAGATTTGGATCGCCTTGCAGATGAGTTCGTGCTTTCCCGAAATGGTCGATCGGGCATATGCCTGACCAGTCTGGCCATGTGATTCACGACGTGAATTTCACGTGACGTGACCCCTAATGCACATCAATTATCTATTGTTAGCGATCTTAAGACAGAGTTAACAGTTCTTTTCTATGTTCTCATGGCACAAAGTTTGTAGAAGCTCGGCTTTAATAGATTTTTCTTCGCTAATGTGTTGCGCTACAAAGTGCAGTAATAAACTATGACTCACAACTCTGACCAATGCCATTGGTCCAATGGTCAGGGTCACTGACCCAGTGACCATTTTCGGGTGTGACTCGTCAGTGACGAGTCGCCACCCTCGGCGGCCCACGCCCTCAGCAATACGGCCCGGGGACGGAAGCGCCGGGTGAAATTCCCCGGGTCCCAATAAATCACGAAGCCTATGGCCGCTGCTCGTACGTACGGCCCAGTCGAAGAGTCGCGATAGTAATACACGTGACGCTTACGTGCTGTGTATGCGTCGAACGAGCGATTGCATTCAGAGTCTTCCGTGGGATTGCTTTGATAGCTGTTGGTACTCCTGCCAGCCTTGTCGACCGCAAGTCATGTTTGATATCCGTATCTGCCTTCGTGATTGAGTTGTCAGAGTCACTAACATAGACTGGCTATAGTATGGATTGACGACCCTGTCAGAACCTCAAGTAGATGCGTCACTCACTTATGCTTAGTGTCACATTACACGCATGCCCCAACTCGGGTGTGACGCGCAGGTTCGCGACTCTATTGTCATCCCACAGTCACCAGCACTTCACGGCCCGATCAGGCTCCGAGCCTCGGAGCCCGAGGATCATTGATTCGTCGTCTTCAGTTGGTATCCATCCCTGCTGCCCAATCATGATGCTTCGTCATTCCGCGATGGTGCGCATCCTATTCGCTACACTTATCAATTGTCCGATTATCGAGGCTGTGCCTGTGACGGTTGCTGTTAGCTATCTTGATAACTTGATGCCGCTGGATTACCTTGACTTGTTTAAAGCGGGTGCTAAGCATCTTGTACTCGCCGAGAACTGGCTTGGACAGGATGGTTCCATTATATTCCCTAGAAAGTGGGTAACGGTGCCGCTGGCCAACGCGATACACAAATTTGCTGTTCAATACAATGCCACTGTATCCATAGGCTTCGTGCCGGCGCCCTTTATAGGCAACAGCAGTAGGAGTCTACAAGATTTTGTTTCGAAGGCTCAAACTACTATCAACGACTACCATGCGGACGGACTTCTCTTCGAATTATGGGTCAATTCGTTTGAACCAACCGGAAAAGACTGGGAAGTGGTCAACAATTTGACTTCCCTGACTCGTAGCAAGTTGAAATCGAGTAAAGGAAACCCGGCTACGGCTTCAGTCATGTAGGGCGCGAGGAATGAAGACCCTGTCTGTGACTGACAATGACCTTCGTTTCAGGTTCGGTGGCGAATCTCTATCATCAAGCCTTTGGCAAGACTTGTATGTTTATCAGCCATGGAAGTATGCTGATAAGTACTACAGCGTCCTGGATAGCGAATCACTGGATTTCAAAACTCAAATAAGCATCGAATGGGCAGGCAACATCACCCAGCTATTCGCCAACATGTCTGCGAATATCTCTGACTTGTCGCTCACTGTAAGTCTGTTATACCTCAGTGATGTATAATATAGTGGCTTGATATGGCGTGTTCTCAGATAGTCCCGGAAGGCCGCTATAATAATCTCAGCAATTCCAACTCTTATCGAGGGTTGATAAATGACGGTGCGCCAGTATCAGGCGATGGATACTTCGACGGCTTCTACTACAACTCACAGAAACAAGTCAAGGAAAAGGCCCAGCTTGTGAAGACAAGGCGCCTCGGTGGCCTCGCCATATTTTTCCCTTCTATCGATCTCCCCCCTACTAATGCATCCTCTCTGCTGCATGCAGCCGTTTCTGGATAGCTCAGTAGCTTTCAGAGCCGAGAAGGGCTCTCATTCGGACCCTGTGGGAGGCACATATTTTCACTTGAAAGAGATGAGTACGTAACCGTCAGTGAATAACCGTTATTCAATAACGTATATTCAACGCGAACCGGTTGTTATCCTACAAACTCACATCGTATTTCGTTGTTCAGAACAACTGGTTTTTATTGTCTCGATTTTTCGCTTTTTTTCTATCGTCAGATCAAAGTCCGAACTCTTTCTATATATTTTGATCGACTGAGTTTCAGTTATGAATGGAATTCACAGGACTGTGAGCGATTCGGGTAGCTAACAGACTGCGAGGTACATCTTCACATTGGAACAAACTTGAGAAGCGGGCCGAAGAGAGTGGGGATGCCCCTCTCTCGTGACACGAGAGACTTGACCGAGAGCCTCCAAGCATCTTACCACACTGTGGTAAGATGCTTCGAGGCTCCAAGTTGGAGCTCCTTGTCGAGGACTTTGGCAAGGAGGCTCCTTGAAGGAGTCCTTGTGACCACCAGTATGACGGTATTGATACAACTCAAGACTCGTGACCGTCGAAGTATACAAAGGTTCTTGGTGGTAATTCACCACCACAAGTTCACCACTGGTGAACTTGATGATAAGATAGATACCACAATAGAGCTTTACGCAACTTCAATGATGTCGCGAATAACCCCAGCAATAACAACCACAACCTGAATTAGTTATGAACCTGAGTCCATTAGCTTGATGCTAGAACACAATTATGGAGACTATACCTTTCAGAAATCTTTTTGGCGGATTAGGCTATCAATTCAGCTGATAAGGAAGTCACCTTCGCGGACAGGGACATCAATTTATCGATGAAGGTTGAATAGGGAAATCAATTTCGCGAATAAAGACATCAATTTCATGCTTAAGGAATGCAACTTCACGAGCAAGGACACCAATTTCGGGTTAGAGCTCTGTCTTAGCTCTGCATTAAGGACATCCAAACCGTACGTTTCGATTCGAGACGTGAAAAGTGGCTGGTGAAGTAGAAAAGTAGCCGTAGCAAAAAAGGCGGTCGAAGGAAAAAAGTGGCGCGCTAAAAGTAGGAGGGGTCCCCTGCCGCAATCTCCCCTCCAAGGGGAGATGCGCCAGTAAAGAAGAGTTTGTGCCGCGGAGAGAAGATTTTAAGGCGCGCGGGGAAAAATTTGTGCCAGAAAAAAACGGTACGCGTACCTTTTGTGGGCATGAGTCAATGATCGATTGCATTCACAGCCCTTCGTGGGATTCCTTCGAGGATTACTGTTAGAGTTACTAGCATCGACTAGTAGTCGATGCTAGTGACTTTGGCAACACAATCGACGACCCGATCTCGACTTCGAGTAGATCCGTCCACAAGTTCTTATAATCTTGCGTGTCTGCGATTAGAGGTGCAGTGTGCACGCGTACCGCTCCACACTATGGGGTATGTCGCAACCTGTTGCCGTTGCTTGAGAACTTGCAGTACTTATTAAATATTTTGGTGCACACGTACCACTCATGATGTCACGTACGCGCGTATGCCTAACGCATGAACGGGGAGAGAATGAATGGCAGACTCGATGTGTGCCCTCCTGTCACATATGTCGCGGATTGTCCACAGTCATTGTTACTTCCACTCCCTCATAGTATTCAACCATCCCCTTTTATAGTGTAGGCCATCGTTAACCTGCCTGAATCCAGCTTCTTAAGTTGATACTCATGTTCGCCGGATTTGCAGTCATCTCCCTTTCGAGCCTCGCACTGCTCTCGCCAGCCGATGCTGCTGTGCCCGTCACAGTTGCAGTCACTCCATTCGATCGATTCACCGCGAGTAACTACAGCGATTTGTTCGAGGCGGGTGTTCGCCATCTCATCCTGGCACAAAATCAAATACTCGCAGATGGATCTATCAGAATTCCGGGAAACTGGATTACGGTACCGCTCGCTGAGCAAATCCACGGCTATGCTGTTAAACATAACGCCACGGTGTCCTTGGGCCTTATCCCGAACTTTTTTATATATAATACCAGCAGAAGTCTTCCCGATTTTCTTGCCAGCGCTCAAAATACTCTCGGTAACTACTCTGCGGACGGGTTGTTCTTCGAGGCATGGATTCCGACGTTAATACCAACTGGAGACCAATGGGACGTTATTAACAGTCTGACTGACCTCACTCGTACGAAGTTGAAGTCGCGCAGTGGAAATCCGGCTATAGCATCATTAATGTGAATCAACCAACTCGATTCGATTGCCGAATTCATTCATTTCAGATTTGGTGCCGATGCCTTGTCGTCGAGCCACTGGACAGACCTGAAGACTTATCAGCCATGGAAGCATACTGATCGAGATTACTGCTTGCTCCACACACAGACTGTGAACTTCAAAGAGCAAATAAGTCTCGACTGGGCAAAGACTGTCGCTGACCGTTTGTCCGACTACTCCGCGGACATGTCCAAGCTTTCATTCACTGTGAGTGACGAATAGTCTTACAGTTCATAATATTTGATATTTTCTCAGATTGTCCCAGAAGGCCGCTATGATAATCTCACAAGTACCAAGTCTTATCGTCAGTTGATCGCTGACGGTGCGCCAGCATCAGGGGATGGGCACTTCGGAAACTTCTACTACAACTCGCAAAAGCAAGTGAAAGAGAAAGTCCAGCTTGTGAAGACGAAACGCCTTGGTGGCATGGCTGTATATTCTCCTGGCTTTGACCTTCCCGTTAAAAATACATCGTCGCTTCTACATGCTGCTCTATCTGGGTAACGTAAAGCACTCATTTCTCTGACAGTGCTCGGTATAGTTGCGTCAGTATCGGTGTATCGCCATCCTTTTTTATTAGATAGATTCGATTACTTCTCACTGAAGTTAGCCTTTTCCTAAGACCTCAATGAGAATGAGTTCAGTCCGTCGAACTTTGATAAACTATGTTAGAAGGGTTATGTCTGTGAATAGCCGCCCATCGACCAGTAGTTCTCAAGAGGGCTCTCACAGGCTTATCGTTACGAAGAGTCGTAACGATACTAGGAGGAGATGAGTACGTAACCGTCAGTAAATAACGTATGTTCAACCGTTGAGTTTCAACGCAAACCGGTTGTTATCCCACAAATTCACATCATCTTTTGTGGTCTTATCGTCTCGATTTTTTTGCTTTGGTTATCGTACGATCAAAGTCCGTATTCTTCTATATATTTTGTCGACTGAGTTTCAGTTATGAATGGAATTCACAGGAGAGTGGGCGATTTGGGTGACTAACAGACTGCAAGGTACATCTTCACATTAGAGCAAACTTGAAAAGTGGGCCGAAGAGAGTGGGGGATACTCCTCGAATCATCTTTGGGAAAGAGTATTACTTGGTGAAGGACGATTTTCTGATGGCTCGGCGGAGCTAATGAAGCCCTCAAAGAACAGATTTGCAGCACTCTTCACCACCAGCGACGAGGGGAAAGGTGGCTCAGAGACTTCGTGATCTCAGATGGTCCCGGGTTTGCGTTCAGAACACTCCCCCTCGCCCAATGAACCCGGTGGTGTATGGACCCAAGGCCGGACCAGAACGAGACACGATAGTATTGAGACTAACGACGTTAGAGCAATACTACGTCGGAACCAAGAGAACTCTCTTACTATCTTGCTCTCTTTCGTAGTGGTCTCACTATCATTCAATACCACTCAGGGGCCTATTTCACAAGCCCACATAAGGAGCAAAAATTGTAAGGTACCTTACGGTTTCATGGCAAGTCGCTTTCACATCCTTACGATTTGGGGGGTTGGCGTAAGGTAAGGTGGCATAAGGATCCTCACCGTAAGGCTCCTTACCCTACAAGGTGCAAGGAGGGCCTCCTCATGTAAGGCGATTTCATAGGAGGCATTTTTGGGCCCCTCCTTGCGATCCTTACGTAAGGTGCCGTAAGACTGCTCGGGGGGTACTTTATGCACCTTATCGCACCCTCCTTACCATTTTATGCGAGCTCCGCTCCGCTTATTCCCGATAGCCCGCGCGTCTCACCCGCGGATGATCTATCCCTGAACCGTGCATTTTTACCGCATATTCGACTTGGCGTATAACAAATATCGACAACGGCCGATTGTTCACAAATAAGCTCATGATAGTGCTGTTGAGTTTGTGGTAGAAATAACCATACCCTCATTTTCGGATTCTGACCTGGATATCTTCGTATCTTTACTAGAAGAGTGGGCAGAGACCTTATTCGCGAAGGTAAACAACACCATTACTGTATCGTACAAGGGGCAATATCACAGTGTTCATTCAAGTTTTCCGCGTCCATAGTAGTAGTTGTACGGGTCAGTGCAAACGGCTTACAATAGCCCTCTTGAGAGAACTCTATTGAAGCACTGTGTGACACAGTCTGTGTCGATTTTTTGATGCGCGTCGGTACGGGTTTAGGTGCCCCTCGTGCTCCTTATTGGGGTTCACGAGGTGCACCTTAAATTTAGGCGCATAAGGAGCATGAGGAGCAACTGAAGTGAAAGCACCTCGAGTAAGGTGTAAGGCTCCTTGCTCCTTGCTCCTAAATTCAAGGTGCACCTTAAGGAGCGTTTCTTGTGAAATAGGCCCCAGTTCTTACATCCTCACTATGATGATTCTTGCACTCTTCATATCCCGTATATCTCTCGTTCGCCCCAGTGAAACGGATAGATGCGTTTCACGGCGTACTCCACTCCACACACTACAATTATCAAGGTAATTAGTCTGCTATCATTCACTCGCTATGCCCTCGAGTTCAACTAGTACTCCGGCATCACCATGGGATCTCAACAGTCGAGTTCATGGAACATAATGGCGGGCGCTATTGGCCACAACCAAAGCACGCATGAACGTAGCGTGCCATAAAAAGGGGCCCAAGCCCCTCTCGATTCCAATCCCAGATCCCCATCCTCTCAAAAACGGTCCAGAGACTTCGTGGCCTCAGATGGTCTCGGGTTTGCGTTCAGAACGCTTCCCCTCGCCCAAACTCGGTGAACACTCTCAATCCTCACAGTACCACTGGTACTGTACCAGGTGTTGCAAGTCGCGTCGCAGAAAGTATTGCGAAAAAGCTCCGCGGCCCACAGGTGAGTCACTTGAATTAACTCTTCTCGTAAAAGCTCAAAGAGACGCAAGATCTTGCTATTGGTAGGTCCTGGCCGGGCATATACTGTGAAATGACCGAATTTGATCAGACATGCACAACCGAGATGTCACATCGAACTCCGATGATCGGAGATGCTTCATCTCAGATGAATCACAGGCATTATGCGCCGTCGAGATTTGGTTGTTGTTGACCAATACCTCGGTCACTTGCTCTCCTACGTGATGCCTTAAGCATGCTCGAGCTTATGTTGTTCATGGATTCACCTGCTGTGCGAATATGGCATATTGTAAGCTTGAGCGATAGCCACAGCACAGTTGTTAACTCCATGATATTTGAGGAAAAATGATAACATGATGTTTCCAGCAAACATTAGTCATGTTACATTACGGCTCGCGTGTAGCGAAGGTATAACACCTACTTCACAAAATTGGTTTATTGGAATTTGCTTCCAATCTCGGAACGTTTTTCACGAGGAATTGTGTGGTTAGATGCTTGGAGCTCCTGGACAAGGAGTTCTTGTGCTCACCAGCTGAGAATCTTGGCCAGAATCCATAGAATAGGTTAGTCGAGCATCCCCGCGCGTCACTCATCAATGGATCGATTTGTCACTTATTCGCATTCCTGCCTGTTGAGGGAGACGTAGAGAACTAACGATAGAAGGCCAGCCCGCAATTGACGAACAGGACGGATCGGTATGGACCGATATATGGGAAAAGGGCAGCCTTAAGACGATAGCTAACTCGTAATGATCGATCAACATAATATGTACGCATATACAATGTATATTATACATTGGCGCGCTCTAATATCTCTAACACTGCCTGAGAGGAAAAAGAGTGTGCGGTTTGGGTTTACTGCACCAAGCCATCGGAAGGGCCCCTCCATTGCAGGCAATCTCTTTTTCGGCAAACATGGCATCGATCGCTCCGCTGGCACGCATAGGTTAAGCGCCCAACGCCTGCACACGTGCCCCCGGTTGCGGGATTATCAAACAGATTATCGGTTTATGATGTTGATGGTAGCTCGATTATAGTTGGTATCACTATCATTTCCTAATGGTTAGCTCCCTAGACAACGACGCTCTTGAGTTAGCACTGGGAAGACTCGCCCTTGAGCCAAGTGACACTCCAGAGACACATCTGAGTAGAGTGAATCCGGTGGCGAGGTCCGTCATGACTAAGAAGGCCTTGTTGTTAGGATCCTTGGCAGGCGGCCAAGTCGGCACAGGATAACCATGGTCCATGGCCAGATGCTTCCCGCGCGCATCGATGTCCAAGAGCCCTCTAGGTACCCTCGGTGCGCTCACCAGTTTTGCCCTTTTAGTGGGCTTCTGCTCCATGCAGTAGTCGCAACGACTTATCCAAGCTCGTACGTTCCGAGCAATGGAGGGCCACCAAGCGAGACAAGAGATGGCATCTTTAGCTTGTGGGAACGCCCGATGGCTGTCGGCCTCATGCCCGGTGAACATCAGCCATTCTCGCAGTTCCCAGTCTGGGACCACGTTAGTATTAATGATTTGCTCCAGGCCCACTACCTTCCTGGGGAGTACCGTTCAGGTACGGAGAGTGAAAGAGCCATAACAGGAGAGAGCCTGAAAGCCTAGTACGATCCCGACGTCTGTCGCGCGAGCCAGAGGCGAGCGCAAGGAGTTGTGTTATCACAGTTTCATACGCACCGCAGAGGATATGTGTTAAGTGAACCTCTCATAGGGTATGATATCAGTTTACTGATGAACTGGAGTGTTCATGTAGTTATCGAGGCCGTGCCTCGAGTTTCTTTACTCTCATCCAATGTCGTTGTCCGACGGAGCTAAGGAGATTGTTCAACGTCATTGTGATGGGCAGCCCGGCCTGGTTGAGAAGGTCACTGCAGAGCTTGAGAAGGAGAACGTGCTACAAGTAATGATGTTGTCTAACCTGACCGATGCGCAAGTGGAAACTCTGGTTACCGGCATAGCCACGGACGAGTTGAAAGATAAGAAGATAATGGTCGGTTGTGCATTGAGATCGTGCGTGAAGGATGCTGGTTTCCAAGTTGACTTATTCGCTGCAGGCCAAAAGGCTCTCCCTCTAGCTCGCAATGTACTTAGTTCTACAGCTCAGGGATCTAAGACCGACCTGTCTGCCACTTCTGTAAGAATAGGTCTCTCAAGCGCTTCCATTCTTGACGACTCCAGCTATCGGCGATAGTTCGCAGGTCCTTCTTCATAGCAAGCCAAGTTCGCCTCGGCAACTTGGCTTTCTTCTTCGCCTCTCTAGCTCTCTTGGCTACGTGGAACCAGCAGGAGATCACACGGGGCGCTCCAGACGTTTCGTAAGCTTCCATTACAGCATTATAGAGTGCTTGGCTCCCATCTAAAACCACCTCTTGGGATCTGTGTCTCCAACATCATGTTGGTGGCGGTTTGGATCAATCATACTGAGGACTGTGAACTGCTGCGCTAGGAGGTTATACGCAGCGTTCCTCTCGAATCCAGAGTCTGCATCATACTTCTGAACTTTTCGAGTTTCGAGGCTCGATCTCGAATCGATTCGGTCCCAGAGGTTATACAATCGATTGGTCCAATATCGATACCGGTAACCGAGAATCGATCTCGAATCGATTCTTTCGATTTAGGGGCGCCGGTTCGATCCAAGGCTCCGGCATTTTTATGTATTTTCTATTTCGAAAAGTTGCGCACAATGGAACCACTGAAACCCGGCACCTGCTCATCCGCGCCCCTAGATTCGTCGCCCCTAAGGTACTCAATCCGCCCCTAAATTGCCCAATCCGCCCCTAAATGACTCGTACCGGCCCCTAACTTTTCAAGCTACCCGAGCGTCCCTGAAGCTTCACTGCAAGCATGTCACGTGGCTTTGTTGACTGCCATGACATCTTGAGGAAAACTCATGTGCATCACGCTTGACCCTGGCCGTCTGAAAGATACATGTTCGAACTTGACCAGCCACTGGCTTGAACGTTTCGAAACCTTGGCCGACGCAATGATCAATCTAGTTTCGCATCGTTGTGTTGAGCCGTGCTATCTACTGATCTTGGCCGGCGGCCAATGGCCGCCCTGAACACGTACTGAGCGTACTGAACTCCACCACGTAACTACATTTATTAGCTAAGCACACTGGTATGGGTCACTGAGACAGAAACTGTGCCATGTATGTCAGTCTCAGAGAAGCTGTAACGATAGCGGATGACTCATCCAACTTTAGAACGCATGTGGCATATTTAGGGGCGGATTGAGTAATTTAGGGGCGGGGCGAAGAATCCGGATTTTTGAACCTATGCTATATGCGATAACTATTAGAGTTATTAGGCTACTTAGTAGCCGCTACTAGGGATATTGAATTTGCGGTGTGGATTATGCTC